GTATAAATAAAACAAAAATAAAAACAAAAATATATAATATATGAAAAAATATATATATGAAAAAATATTTAAGAAAATATATTTTTTCATGTGTGAACAAAACAAAGCCAAAAATTATAAAACAAAAAGAATAAAAAACAAGAAAAAAAATATATATACAGGGTGTTAACGATCGAGCTTCGCGCTGCGTGCGTTATGTCGTTTTTATAATTTCTTTTTCGTCATATATTTCTATAATTTGTCTTTATAATTCGTTATCGTATACGTTGTAACAAATTCACATTAACAGGCAGAATATGACCATGTTTAGCGTTCGCCGCGGAAAAACATGCCTCGGTAAACAATCTCGAGTGAGCCGCTGCTATTGTTTTTATTTTACTTCTAACAGCGAAGGCCACGAGAGAAGCGTTGAAAAGACGAAAATTTCAAAATCATCAGAGATAGCGTTCCCCTCTCTAGCGCTTGAGTTTAGATCTGCGCGAATCATCATCGATCATCTGGCCCTCTCTCCGATGTGAAAAAGGCGGTCGCAAGCCGATCAACCGGACAGGCGTTTCACTCGGTCATTTTTGCAAAACCAGAAGCTTTCTTCAATTCCGAGTAAGAAGACGCTTCAAGTCGCTGAGTGCTAGTAATTAGTTTTCTCTATTTTTCGTCTTAAGCATACGAAAGCTTAGTTCGGGCTTCGAAATCAGCTGTTTCTCGAATCTTTTCTTTTTGCGAGATTTAGACGCTTGTCGCGTGAACGTAATCGACGGGCTTAATCGCCAGCGAACTTTTGTTAATTTCGTTTGATTAATTATTGACAATAAAGTGCATTATTCTGCAAGTATCATCGCTCTACAAACATTTATCGCGCTCATACGATTTGATCCGTTTCCCCGCGTCTGCGGGTCCTCACTTTTCGCTTACTTCATTCCATTTCGCTCTCTTTCTCTCGCTCGGTTGCCGGTTCGTGCGACCGCCAGCGGTCTCTCTCCTTCTCGTTCCTTTCGCTGCTCCGTTCTTTCCTTGCCGCTAATCTTACCCTTCGCTCTCTCTGAGCGCACCCGGCACCTCTCTGTTCCGATCGGAGTCTCATTTCGATCGCGAACATAAATTTGGTCCTTTCGAGCCGGATCAAGGGCAATCAGTGCGGCGCGTTAAAGTGACTGGACAAAGGGGAACAATTCGTATATCACCATGAGTGAACTGTTAGCGAAACAGCAAGCATTGTTTCATTCAATCTCCCGGTCACTTGACAACTTTCGAAAGGTCGGGAAAAACAATTACGCACCCGCAAAAATACGATCGCGAGTGTCCGCCCTGAAAGAGACATGGGCTCAGTGCATTGATACGCATTCATCGTTGCTGCAAGCCGTGCCAGAAGCAAAGCGAGAGTCGGTCGACTACTTCCGGAGTCAGCTTTTCGACACACACGAAGACGTCTATCAGGAGACTCTGGACTACATGGCGGAGCGTCTCGAGGAGATCGAACCGCCGATGACTTCCACCTCGGCAAATCATCGCGCCAGTGAGTCTTCATCAGCCTTTTCGCTGTCTCATCTACCACCCATCAGCATTCCACCGTTTTCGGGCAAGTACGACGAATGGGAAAGTTTTCGCGATCGTTTTTCGTCGCTCATTATCCACAATAAGGACTTGTCCGCGTTCGCGCGTATGCACTTCTTATCCTCGAGCTTGACCGGGCGCGCTCTGGACGCGATTAAGAACATTCCAGTAACAGCCGACAATTTCGAGATCGCTTGGAAAACTCTGGTGTCGCGCTATGAGAATAAACGTCGCTTGGTCGATATTCATGCCGCGTCGCTGTGTAATCTCCCGAGTGTTTCACGCGAGTCAGCTTCGGAATTAAACGAACTACGAGATAAAGCCAATCAAGCTATCGCGTCTCTAAAAACACTCAAGCGATCATCCGAAGACATTCTGAACGATCTCCTCGTGTATACAGTCTCTCAAAAACTCGATCCTGCTACGCGAAAAGCGTGGAAGCTCAAAGGGGGGGACGAAACGGCTATTCCGTCATACGCAGATCTCGATCGCTTCATCGCCTCTCGCGCTCGCGCTCTCGAGGAATTGGCGCCTCCAAGCGCTACGAAACAAGCACGGTCGCAAAGGACAACGAGCGCGACGGCGTCCGCAACGTCCGCAATCTCGTGCCCACTGTGCAAATCGGCTCATTTTATCAACAAGTGTCCGCAGTTTATTAAGAAAAACCCGATACAACGTGCGGAAATCATAAAAAGCAGCAACCGTTGCATGAACTGCTTGAGCGCAAAACACGCAGTAAAGTCGTGCCCCAGCAAATACGCCTGTCGCACGTGTCAGCAAAAGCATCACTCGATGCTACACCTTAATGCAGATTCTCCGTCAGTCGAAACAGCCAGCCCGCTCGACTCCAATGCGCAAGCAAAGACCGCTGAGACTGCTGCTGTATTAAATATGACGACCAAAACTCTTTCGCGACCTCACGTGTTGCTGGCAACCGCTAAAGTCCAGGCTCGGACAGCATCAGGTCGCGCCATCGTCGTTCGAGCATTAATCGACCAAGGCTCGGAAATAACTTTTATGACCGAACGACTCGCGCGGATCCTAAAAGTGCGCCGCGTTCGCGCACCGGTTGCCATTTCAGGCGTCGGAAGCTTCGACGCTGGCTCTTGTCGTTTCACCGCAAACATAATTCTTTCTCCTTGCGACAACTCGAAGCCGGCCCTCGAGATTTGCGCGTCTATAATGAAGTCGCTGACGAGCTACGCCCCGTCGCCTGCGGTCTCTCCCGTCAATTGGGATCATCTCGCGGATCTTTCTCTCGCGGATCCGGATCCTCTCAGCGCAGATCCAATTGATCTGCTCTTAGGCGCCGATCTTTATGCTAATCTAATTCTCGAGGGCGTGCGAAAGGGCGAAAGCGGCCAACCTGTGGCGCAAAATACCGTCTTTGGATGGATCATCTCGGGCTCGACGGCGACTCGTGAGGACTCACGTCACGTCACCGTCCAGCATTGCGCAAACAATCTATCACTCGATAAGCTTCTCCAGAATTTTTGGGAGATCGAGGAGCTGCCGCGCCAGACACTACTCAGCCCCGAGGAGCAGCAGTGCGAGGAGCATTTTGTGTCGACGCACTCGCGCGATTCGAACGGTCGGTACATCGTGCGTCTCCCATTCAAGCGAGGCCCTCCGATCGAAATCGGAAGCTCGCATGGGACCGCCAAACGCTTGTTGCAAGGATTGCAGCAACGCTTCAATGAAAATCCGCAATTAAAAGCGGAATACAGTGATTTTCTTAGCGAGTATGAGCGAATGGGACATATGCGAACCATAACGTCTCCCGGGCACGACTCAGCGCAATGTGTTTACATTCCGCATCACCCGGTTATTCGCGAGAGCAGCGTTACCACGCACTTGCGCGTCGTGTTTAACGCCTCGAGCCGCACTGGGAATGGATCGACGCTAAATGATCATTTGCTCGCGGGTCCGAAATTGCAGACCGACTTAGCGGCGGTAATTCTACGATGGAGACAGTTTCGCTACGTTTATGCCGCCGATATCGCAAAAATGTATCGCCAAATACGAGTAGATCCTCGCGACGTCGACTACCAGCGAATCTTGTGGTTCCGTGATAACGACCACAGCGTACAAGCGTATCAGTTGCTCACGGTGACATACGGTACGGCTTCGGCGCCCTTTTTAGCACTTCGCGTGCTTCGTCAGCTTGCTCAAGACGAAGGAGATGCGTTTCCCTTGGCGGTCTCGGTGCTCCAAGATCATATTTACGTCGATGATGTCCTCTTCGGGGCGGACGACATTCCGATGCTTCGACAAATCCGCGAACAGCTGTGCACACTGTTAGCCCGAGGTCAGTTCGAATTGCGAAAGTGGGTCAGCAACTCGTCAAAATTATTGAGCGACATCGCCGTCGAAAATCACGGGTTAGCTTGCTCTAAAATTCTACAAAATAATGAGCACATAAAAATTCTCGGTATCAGCTGGAATCCGGCGTCGGACGTCTTCGAATTTCGCGTGTCACTTCCTCTCTCGATTCCAAACACAAAACGGGCGATCTTATCCACCATCGCGAAGCTGTTCGATCCACTCGGTTGGAGCACGCCCGTGACAATTTCAGCCAAAATCCTTCTGCAAAAATTGTGGCAGCTTAAAGTGGACTGGGATGAAACTATTCCATTAACATTGGTAAGCCAGTGGGAGTCCATAAAAACGTCGCTGGTCGACCTAAACGGGCAGCGACTCGCTCGCTGGATACAGCAAGGATCCGATACAATGGAATGCGAGCTTCACGGCTTCTCTGACGCGTCTACCACTTCTTACGCCGCCGCCGTTTATCTTAGGCTCACATCCATCTCTGGGGAGATAACTTCCGCGTTGCTTGTCGGAAAATCAAAAGTCGCGCCGATCAAATCATTAAGTATTCCTCGGTTGGAGCTAGCCGCGACCGTCCTTCTGTCTCGGTTGATGGAATTCGTGCGTAACTCTCTCCGTCTCACCACAGCTTCATGTCATTGCTGGACGGATTCAACCGTCGTGCTTGCGTGGGTGAATCAACCGCCGTCGAGGTGGAAAACTTTCGTGGCAAATCGCGTGTCCGAAATCCAATCCCGGATTCCATTTGCCTCCTGGAAGCATGTTCCAACCGGGGACAATCCTGCCGATTGCGC